GTACATAATGTTGGATGTACTTCCTTGCAGAGTAGGGTGTGGAGACCAAGGGAGTAATCCTGACATCTGTGGTCTCTGTAGTGCCCACTCTTATATCCTGTCTCCTCCCACCTTCTCTCACCCACCTAGCTGCTTCCCATAAATGTTCATCCACCTATCCAAGTTCCTGAAACCCTCTCCTTCATACACACGTATGCACAGATTAGTGCACACTTCATGTATGTATGTATACATGCATGTCACCCATCTGTGGACATGTCAGCACACAGACAGGTCCTCCCACACCTGTACATTCCAAGGAAGAGCTGAATGGATGCATCCTAGGGCTTGGGGCAGGCTGGTGGGCCATCTGGCTGACTGAGGGAACAGCTGTCTTGCTGAAAGCAAACATGCAGGTAACAAAATATGCATGCAGGAGAGAGACTGAGGGGGCAGTTGACAGCAGATGGGGTTCCCAGGGGTGAGGGTGGATATGCAGGGAGTGTGACCCATGAGAGTACTGCAAAGCCATCCATGTTAGGGTGGCTGACACCTGAAGAAACGCTTTTTAAAGCAGCACCGCCCTCTACTGAGGGCTTTCAACCTGATGTTAAGCATTTCTTTATTTCTCTAGAAATCTGCTCCAGTTTGGTTTTTACCAATCTCCAGAGTCCTCTTTGGAGATGCCAGTTGGCACAAGAAAGTGCTGAACTGTTTACAGTCCCAGCCCACGGTGCAGGGAGGGGATGTGGTTTAACTGGGCCACAAAGCCCGGGACAGGACTCATTTGCATGGCCCCTGACGCCATGTGACGCGGCAGGCTCCTCCTATATAAAGAAGCAGGAGCCAAAATATCTCCGAGTCTGGGTTGGACTAGCAGTCCTGGAGTTTGTGACACACTGACATTCCTCGAGTCACTTCCCTTCAACTCTAGCCTGAGCCCTTGCTTGGCTTTGGGTCCCCTCGGCAGCCTTCACCCCCTCCTAGCCCCGGGGCCAGACTCCACCGCAGAGCCCAGCCCGGTGCAGCTTGCCAGCAGCCAGCGGCCGCCCAGTCAGCCCAGCCTGAAGCCTGGCCAGAGATCCCAGCAGCCTGAGCCATGAACACCGAAATGTATCAGACCCCCATGGAGGTGGCGGTCTATCAGCTGCACAATTTCTCCATCTCCTTCTTCTCTTCCTTGCTTGGAGGGGATGTGGTTTCCGTTAAACTGGATAACAGGTAACCACTGGCCCCAGCTCCCGCGCCGAGCCGGGCTGTTGGCAGGGGCTGAGCTCCGAGCCGGATCTCCCAGCTAGGAGTGCGCCGCCGGTCCTTGTTTCCCGAGGAGTAGCATCCTGGGAAGGGGCGGGGGTATGGGACGCAGGAAGGGGGGTCACCGCAGCTCCCGGGATCCTCGGTCGGAGTGTCCTTGTGGCCGCTGCGCCTTGAAAAGCAGCTGCTGCAGCCACAGAGGCAGGTGGAGGCAGAAGGGTGGCAGCCAGGGCCGGGCACGGGCTGGCTGTGAATCCCTGAGGAGAAGGCCTGAAGCTTTGAAGCTTCCTAGCCCAAAAGGAATTGGTAGCTAGGTTCCGATCCTGGTAGGTTTGCGTGGACCTTCTGGGCCCTTGGCTGGGGCCTTCCTGGGCTGTAGGCCCCCATTGTCTGTATATCGCCAGAGCTGGCCATGCTGGCCAATGCGCCCCAGGACGCGCATGCTGCCCGGGTCTGCTGGAGCTCTGGGCACAGCTGCATAGATCTAGCCCTGGTGGGAAAGTGCAGCTTCCTGCTGGGACCACACAGGGACCTGATGACCAACTGCCTGGAACTCCGGGGCCAGAGAGGCGGGAGAAAGGAAGAGCCTGGGCAGATGGAGGACTTTGGCTACAGCTGCCAGGTACTCAGAGTGGATCTGGGTGAGTAACGGGTCGCTTTGTTTTTTGTCTTTACAGTGCCTCAGGAGCCAGCGTGGTGGCCATTGACAACAAGATTGAACAGGCCATGGTGAGTGGTATCCCCACGTCATTTCCATCCCCAGACTTAGCTGCTGTACTGCTTATGTAACTCTGGGCAGGACTGACTGAGAGGGTGGGTGCAAAAGCTATTAGCCAAAAAGCCCAGGGAAGCCCTGTGGCTGGTTCCCATCCTCCCTGAAGACCTTAGGTAGGCTTAGATTGACACTTTTTAGGGCACTTCCAGGTCTGCTCTTGCTGATTTCCTGCCTTCCTTCCGCACACCTCCATCCCAGGGCTTTGCAGCAGCCTCTGGCTCCCTCCTGGGTCTGTGCAGGACAGGGAGCTGAGACTCTCATTTGTCTGTATCCGGCAGTTGGAAGGGGCTGGAGCTCATTGGATGCAATTGCACTGCAGTGTCTCTGCAGAGCTCTGAAAGGGTCAGGAGTTGGGAGGAAACAGAAAGCAAAGCACCCCACCCTTTCTCCCTCTCCACACTAGGTAGAGGTCAGATTCCACTGAGCAGCCAAAATGGCAGCAGGAGGGTGGGGCTTCCTGTAGTTAGAAGCCCTTAATTGTGCTCTGGTGCCTAATGACACAGTTCTCTGCCCCTAGTGCAGTCATTACATTCAGAGACGATGTAGCAATCTCTACACCTTACCCTAGAGCAAGTGTCTTGTGTCCTATCTAGGCTGCAGAACAGTTGTGACTCATTGTGCTGGATCGGGACTCTAAAATGCCAATTTTATTTTCTTGGTGAAGATTTGTAATGCAAACTAGTGGTATGGGGTACATTACAGGTATCCCCTTCCCACCCCTGATTTGGGTGCGTACCAGGGCCAAGCAGCAGCCAGCAGAAGTCTCAAAGGTGGCTAAACAGCCACACTTGAAAGTCATTAGAAACTTGAGGCGGGGCTATCTAGATCAAAACCAGGCTCCCACCTCTGGCTTGACCCAAATCCTGCAATTAGGGTGTAAGTACTTCAGAGAAGGGTACACACAGAATTGGGCTGCAGGGCCAGCATGCTGAGGGAAGGCTGCAGGGCAGTGACATGAAGGCTAGCACAGGCAACTGATGGCAAGGTTAAAGGTCTGCAGAGACAATGATCACTAGGATGGCTTTCTTGTCATTTCGTCCGTGGCAGGATCTGGTGAAGAATCATCTGATGTATGCTGTGAGAGAGGAAGTAGAAATACTGAAGGAGCAAATTCGGGAGCTGGTAGAGAAGAACTCCCAGCTGGAACGTGAGAACACCCTCCTGAAGACCCTGGCGAGCCCGGAGCAGCTGGAGAAGTTCCAGTCCAGGCTGACCCCTGAAGAGCCAGCTCCTGAATCCGCACAAGCACCTGAGGCCCCTGATGGTTCTGCGGTGTAAGTGGCTCTGTCCTTAAGGGTGGGCAGAGCCACTAAACTTGTTGTACCTAGTTTTTTCCAGTTTGTTTTTGGCTCCCCAAGCGTCATCTCACGTGGAGAACTTTACACCGAGCATAGCTGGTGCCAAGAGATGTCTCAAGGACATGGCCACCTGGGTCCTCTCCAGTGACAGACCCCTGACAAAGAGCAGCCAGGTCTCTGGAGGCTGAGTTGCATGGGGCCTCGTAATCCTAAGCCAGTGAGCCTCTAATGCCACCATGTCCTAGAGGCTCCCATGACCTGGGCAATTTATCTGCAACTAGCAATGGTGAAAGGTAGTTTGAGATGTGATACCACTTTGGTGGAGAAAGTAGAAGGGATCTGTTTTCATTTCCATGGACATCTTCAGTTAGCATCACCTGACAAAGACTGTTCCTATGAAGAAGCAAGCCACTTGTGTTTTAAGCAGAGGCAGCCTCTCTCTTCTCCCCTGCCTCGCCAAAGCAAGGGGCACAGATGAGAGAGATTGAGCCAAGTCAGCCTTCTGTTGGTTAATATGGTATAATGCATGGCTTTGTGCACAACCCAGTGTGGGATTTCAGCTTTGGGATGACCGCTTACAAAGTTCTGTTTGGTTAGTTTTGGCATAGTTTTACTGGTTAGCCATAAATGCATATATATACCCATGGGGCTAGATCTTTATCTTAGTGTAGCGATGTATACATATACACATACACCTACGTGTTGAAGGGCCTAACCCGCTTGGGGAGTACTGACTGGTCCCTTATGTCTTAAAGCTAATTTTTGACTGTTCATTTACCTACTTGATCCAAGTTTGTCCTATAGATTAAATTAAAGATTCAAAAAGTAAAAACAGGGAGATAGGGGGGCCAGCCTCCGAACATGGCCTCAGATGCCTTGCTGCTGTAGCCCTTTCCCCATGTGTCCACTGTAAACGGGTGAAGTCCTCTTGAATGCCAAACCCACCATTCACTGGTGCTGACTACATAGAATGGGGTTGAGAGAAGATCAGATTGGACTTCACATTGCTGTTTGAGAACCTTAAAAAAAATTTGTGGAAGACTTTCATGTTAATAGAAGGATAGTGTCCTACTGTGGATGAGGGAATAGCTTTGATCCCATTGGGGTCTAAGGGATGTGCCCTGGAAGCTTGTCTCTGGGGGTTCTGTGACAGTGAATACTTTCCACTTTCTGACACCTTATCCTGATGTATGTCTCCAGGATTTGAATTTTGACTTTTCAAATGTAGCTTGAAATTTCAATAAACTGTTCTTTTTTTTCTAAAAATACATGCGGTATCTGAGTATAAATGGACTGGGCAAAAAAGATCCCTTACCCAGTGAGAGGAGACTGTTTTTCTGGCCCAACAAATATTTGTTGAGCTCTAAGTGCCAAGTCTATGCTACATCCAGGGTCATGTGTCACCCACATAGTGCCTATATGAAAGACATGCTCTTTACCCTCACTGTTGTGGTAAAGAAACTGAGACTCAGCCAGTTAAGCAACATGTCCAATGTCACACAGCTATTATGTGAGTTGTTCTCAAACCTGCAGCCTTCTCTCTCTGTTCTGGTCTCACTTTCATATGAGAGCTTCATAATGACTGGCAAGGCAACTAACACTATCAGCTGGAGGGGGTGATTTAGGAGGTTACCTAAGGGTTCCCTCAAAAAGACCCCCCCCACAAAAAGGGCAGAGAATACCTGTGAAGGAGCAAGATGAGAAGAATCAAGGAAACTTAAGTGGGCCTCTTCCTTCTTCTGAAAACATCAGCTAATCCATTGTGATCCCTGATTTTGGCAAAGAAGCAAGGATAGTCTTAGTGGGAAAATTATGGAAAATGTATGAGGTGACAACCATCCCCATCTTCTCTCTGTCTCCTCCACCCCACCTAAAGAAAAATGAATTCAAGTCTTGCTGCTTCATGTCACTACTGAAAGTTCACTGACAAAACCCCCCAGCCACGTGGGCAGGGCCAAGTCCAAGGCTCCTGACTCTAGCTTCCTTCCACCTCTTTTTGGGGGCTGTCTCCCCCCACCCTTTCTTGGTCCCATTTCTCTGCAATTGTCTGCTATTTTTTTATTGGTTATTGTTGAGCATTTAGTGTCTCCTGTATCTCACCCTAACCTGAACCCAGCCTAGCCCCTAAGCGTAGTCTTAAACCCACTACGTCCCCAAGGGAGACAATCATCCCTATGAAAGTGATGCCAGTCTCAGTTTCCTGTAGCATATATACCTATCCGTTTGCCACTTGAAAGCAAGCAGAACTCCTTGATTTTCACTGAGCCACCTACCTCTAGGTTCTAAAGAGTAGTATGCCTTGGCGCCTTCCTTTGCACTAATCACTGTCCAAATGTAATAAAAATGACATGCTTCCTTCTCTTTCAAGTTCATACATGTCCTGTTCTTTTCCATTTACTAGAACCCTTCACAATGTTGCAAACCTCTACTCATTGGCCCCTGCTTGCTGGCCTCTTGGACCTCAATTTCCTCACCTGCTCCCAACCTCCATACTCAAGATGCGAAGTTCATTGTTTACACATACACATTCAGTCATGGCAAGCAGATTGCATAGATGCTAGTTCAGATACAAACTTTGGACTAGTGTATTGGAAGCCCCCAGACAGCTATCCCCATGGGGCCAGGCTTTTCCAATCCCCACTTACTCCAAAACTCTTCTCTCAAAACAAGCTGAGAGAATTTTAGATTACTCCACTCATTGGTAGACTTCCCACAGCCACTTCCCACGGCCAATTTCTAGTCGAATGAGAAAAAACAGATAAAGCCAAAAACCCCAGCAACACCTCAGACCTCTCTGGTCATCAAGCTCTTTACAAAAAAGGGGAAAAACATTGTCCTTCAGTCACACAGTGGTAAAAAGAGAACAGCTTTGTTGCTGAGGCAACCCCGACTAAACAGAGACAAACACTGCAACTTCTGAAGCCACTGCGGTTAGTAGAGTAGATAAGAGGAACTTTAGATGTTTGTTATTCACATATAGGAGTTCTTTGTTGTTGTTGTTCCACAGAAAACCAACTAGAGTGGAGAAAGTAGAAAAACATTTGGCTCCTGGACTTTCAGGGACTTTGGGATTTTGCACTCAGCTGGTCCTGCTGGGCCCAGCACAAAGACACCTGCAGCAACAGTCACCCCCTGCCTGGGTATGCCACTTTGCCCTGTGCCATCCTTACGGCAGCCCTCCCAACACAGCAACAAGCATTACAAGAACGCTGTTTCCTGCTCTTCAAAAAAGTGGCAGTTATGATCTACCTCCATGTGACAGGCAAGAAAACTGGGAGCCAGAGGCCTTAATTTACATTGATCCCATGGGACTGTGGTCCCCCTTTTAAATGCCCAACACATTTTTAAGACTTCTCCCAACTCCATGGCAGTTGAATTCTTGGTATTTAGTCTTTACTAAGAGAGAGAAACAAGGACAAACAGTATATGAATTCATTGGTGCCTTTAAAAGATTGCTTGTATTTGCCACAAATCATAGACTTGAGATTGAAAACTAGAATAGTAATGCATGTGTCAACTAGATTTAACCATTGTAATTATACACACACACACACACACACACACACATGCATATATATATTTCAAAACATGTACATAATAAACAATTTCATCTGTTGATCTAAAAAAGAAAAGTAAGCCAGGCGTGGTGGCTCACGCCTGTAATCCGAGCACTCAGGAGGCTGAGGCAGGAGGATCACTATGAGTTCGAGACCAGCCTGGGCTACATAGTGAGTTCCAGATCGGTCTCAACTACATAGTGAGACCTGCCTCAAAAAAAATTAAAAATTAAAAATTAAAAAATTAAAAAACTAGAACAGAAGTGTAGGGATAAATCATTAGCAGAAAATAACTGCTTGAGGCAGCACTCTCAGGCTGGGGACAACGACAGGGAAAGACACTGCTATGAGTCCTCCTGAGAAGGAAGCCAGAGAGCAGATGATACGGGATCACTGAGACCTGGGCTGTAGGGTGAAGCACTCCAGAAAGAAGGTACATGGATGTGGCTCAGTGGTGCCGCCTCCTGCCTCACAAAGTGCAAGGACCCAAGTTATTTTGAAAATGTCCTAACATCAATCACCCTTTGTATTTTGGGAAAATGTTGCTTTCAAATTTCACCTCTCCTCTTCTCAGTTGGTTAGAAATTAATGAACTGATGAGAGCTTTGTAGACAGCTTAGCTCCTCAGGTCGTCTCATGCAGAGAAGCTCATTAGAACCCAGATACTAGCTGCTTAACCACCTCCATCAGTTCAAGCAAGGTTTAACAGAGAATTCCGTCAGTTAGCTATTCCAAGCAGAAATGGTTTCCAAAGAGGAGCTGGCTGGAAGGGACAATGATGACAACAATTAAGAATAGTATTAGACATCACTTACATGGCACTTACTTTATGCCATATAGCATTCTAAACCCTTTTACATCTACTGACTCTTGATCCTCTCCACAAATGTACAACATATGTGTTCTATTAAGATCCCTACTTTAGAGATGAGAAATGAAAACACTAAGGCACAGGTTAAACAGCCTGCCCAAAGTTACACAGCTAGTGAACAGCAGAGCATGAATGAGGGGGAGGCAAGACCGAGGCACTGAGGAACGGGATGGAGAATCTGAGGAATTATAATTCCTCCTGCGCAACCAGAAGTGCTCCAGGGGCAGGAGGTAGGGAGGTAGGAAGGAGACTCCTCCAAACTAGCAGAAGGGCTAACATAAGAAAAAAATGACCAAAGAACCTGGGGGGAATAGGAGTGAACAGAGAAGGGAAGGAAGCATTGGAAGCCAAATGACTTTACATAGGATCTCACAGGTCTCGGAGCCACGGTAGGATCCTGAGCAGGGAAGTGATGCGATGCCAAAGCTATTTGGAGAAGATGGGTTCTGACAGCTGGAGTGGCTGAAATGGGGCCGGCTAGCTGCTGGCCAGCTGTTGCTGTAATCCAGGTGCGAGGTGACGAGGGCCAGCCAGGGCAAGAATAAGGGTCATGGAAAGGAAAGGGGCAAAAACACTGCAAGGCAGTATGTCTTCAAACGTAGTCTGCGGTCTGCCCACATTGGGTCTGTTGGCAAGTTTAAAATGTAGATACCAGGTCCCATGCCCAGACTACAGAAGGATTAGGGCTCAAGAATCCCTGACTCTTACCAAGCCACTGGTGACATGCTGGAGTATGGGAAAGTCTGCAGACCATTCACTAGATGAAAGTCAGCATGACCAGCCGAGTCAGGTGAGCATGAGAAAGCAAAGCAGCCGCAATTCAAGGATGGCATGAAATTTTTTTGCTATACACACACACACATATGGATATATATGGATATGCAGTATATAGATATAACCATTTTAAGCCAATTTCAAGTGTACAGTTCAGTGACATTATATATATTCACACTGTCCTGCAACTATTACCACCATCCATCACCATCATCTCAAATGGCACTCTGTGCCTGTGAAACACTAATTCCCCAAGCCTCTGGTGCCCTGAAAATTTTGAGTCTGGGGACTGGGAGACCATGGAAGCACTGAAAGAAATGGGTGTAGGAAAAGGCTGGTACCTTTCACGGGGGTGATGAATTACAATTTTGATTTCTGGCTGAGCTAAGCATATTTACATACAGAAATATTCCATAAACAGCTGTGGAAAAAGAAATGCAAATCAAGGACCTGAACATGAGATGTGAACATGTCTGCATGCACAGTCCTTACCACATGTCCTGGCATCTTATAAAATTAAAGTATCCCCTAAAGGTCACTTTGGGGAAGGCTGAAGCAGCTGAGATATTCTAGGAAGAAAAAGCCCAGAGTCCTGGGATGTAGGCCTAGTATTGACTAGCAAGTCATATGACCCTGAGCAACTCATCAACCTGCCTAGACCTGTTTACCATGCTGCAAAACAATATGGTTACACAGGATCATTTCTTTTCTTTCTTTTTTTGCAGTACCAGGGATCGAACTCAGGACCTTCTGCTTTCAAGGCAGGTATGGTGCCACTGAACTAAGTTCCCAGCCCACACAGGATCATTTCTAAGCCAGATGCTAATTAAAATCCCCTGGCCAAGAAGAGGCCTTTGGCTATGAGACTTGTGTACTTTACCTCTTTGCTCCAGGCCTTAGTTTCCCTTCTGGCCCCCGATTCTCTTCATCCTTTTATCTAGTTCTTCTCAAGTTGTTAAAGAGCATCCAAGAAATCACCATTTTTCAAGGCTCCATTTTGTAGCAAAAGAAGGCACACATGGCCTTATTTTCCAGACTTTTTAGTTTCATGCACACTTTTGGTTACCTACATTGTGACAACACACTTTCAAGCTCTAAGTCACCTAGCAGAAATTAGAGGAAGATATGAGAGATTCTATGGAGTAGGCAGAGGAAGCCATACATAGGCGTGTCTTAGCAAAACTTGTGTTTGATACAGATACACAGAGAGGGCTGGAGAGGAACAAGAAAGAGATTATAGGGAAGAGGTGGGCAGGGCAAAACAACTAGAAAAGAAGGAATGGGAGCAAAGAGTACAGCCCCAGCCCATTGGAGCTTCCTCAGCTGGGCTCTCCTGTTTTTTCCCCTGCTGTGCCAGGATGAATTCACCACCAACGACTAGGTCTGTAGTCCTAAAGTCTCCCAAACATCTTTCTTGATGTTCATTGCAATCCAGGGCTCAGTCATTGCAAGTGGAAGATTAACCTAGCCACCATCAGGAGCATCTTGAGGTGCAAGTGATGACCCAGTGAGTTAAGTCACACCTAGGATGAGAAAATACAGCAAAAGGCAGTGAGGGCTGGACAGTGCTCTAGAGATCATCTTTCCCAACTTCCCCTCCCCAAACAAGGGGAGCCACTCACAATCAGCAACAGGGTCAGGACACATCCTCTGGTGTTAGATCACTACAGATGCCCTGGGTCTAGGTCTTGGTGTCCTCATCTATAAAATGAAAGGTGGAACCCAGAGCAATAGTTCACCTTGTCCACACATAGAAATCACAGGGAAAGGATTTAAAGAAACTTTGATGCCCTTTTCCCAGGAATGTTGATAAAACTGGTCTAGGATTGAGGCCTGGGTGTAGGTGATTCTTGGATGATCTGTAGGAATTGCTCTAACCTTAACATCCAGATCCATCCAACCATTCAGCAGACATTCGTATCTACTGTGTGCCAGACACAGTGAAAGCTACAGGGGCTGCAGCAGTGACCAGGTCAGACATAGCCTCTGTGCTTCTGGAGCTTGTTGCATGGGAGGGAGCATATGAGGCAGGATGGGGAGTTGGGAAGGTTGACTAGGGCACACCTCGGCCTTACCTCGTACTCACTCCACCTCCTGGGTTCCCTCGGCCTGTGCTTTCTGCCCCTTCTTATCTCCTGTCTGACTCCCATGTTTCTCTTAACTGATTCTGATCTCAGAAGACAAGAGGTGTTGTTTATCAGGCCTCCTCAAACTCCACAACTCTCTTTTGGGGATGACGAATAATCTATACATAATCTTGCTACCTCCTCTTGTCACTCTTGCAGCCTTCTCCCAGGATGATCTAGAGTGCCTCTGGTCTGTCTTCTCTCCCTGGTTTGTTCCACCTACTCTCAAGGTCCAAGGTCTTCAGGCCATATTAGTGATTTCTGGCCTAAGCATTCCTCTGAGTTCCAGGCTCAAATATTTGTCTGTCTCTTTGCCAGAACTCTTTGTGTTGCACAAGGACATTCATATCTATGAGACCAAAATCAAAGCAATGACTCCACCCTCCTCCAAGGTACCCACCTCGGAGAGTGGCACCACCACACAACTGCTCAGACCAGAAACCTTCATTCCTCCTCCACCTCAGCCCGCACATTCCACCCACTGCCCAGTCTGGCAGTCTCAACTTCCAACATGTGGCCTAAACCCCTGCACTTCAGTCTAGCCGCACTGCCCTTCCTTGGTGTTAGCAGCTGTCCTCTTCTCCTGTCTGAAGGTAAAAGCCTCACACATGGGTCTCCCTACTTCTGCACTGGGCTGTCCAATTCCACACAGCAGCCACTGTGACCTTCTTAATGCAAAAACAGATCATGGTGTTCCCTTGTTTAAAGCTTATCAATGGCTTATCACAGTACTCAGAATAAAGTCCAAACTCCTTCCTGTGGCCTACAAGTGCCTGCGTGATCTGGCCTCCACTGATCTCTCCATCCTTTTTGCATACCATTCTCCTGCCCTTACCAAGCTCCAGCCCAACTGAACTGCTTTCCTCCCCGCAAAGACTCTTTAGAGTGTTTGTTTGCATGGGTCCCTTGGCCCTGAGGCCCTCAGCAGCATCCCCAGCGCTGCTCTTTGCATAGCTGCTTGTTCCTATCCCACGGCTCTCTTTTCCTCTCAGAGATCTTTGTACCCCAGTTTGTTTCAACAGCTGTCCCACATCCTGGGACATACTTTCTATCACTGCACTTATCCCAGATTGTGATGATTCCTTTACTTGTTTTTCTTTGCTTCTGTCTCAAATGTTCTAGCTGCTCCCTGAAGTCAGGAAGCATAGCTATCTCCAGCACCACCAATTCTTCAGAATGTCACACAGTGCTTGACACATGCTGATCAATAAATGCATTTCTGGGCATTTCAGGTACTGTAGCAAGTGATGCTGGGTTGGGGAAGAATTTTTTAATGGGAACAGGGTGAGGAGAGAGCTTTCCCAAAGTCTTTCAAATCACTTTAAGTAAATTTGACCTCTTGGTCATGTCAATTATGAAAGCAAAGAACTATTTATTCTGTCAACAGTTTTATTATTTATTTTTATTGGCATATGCTGGCAATACATGATATTTACATTCATTCTGAGGACATAGTACGTATGTATGACATATCTCGATCATTTTCAATCCCCTTACCCGTTTCCACCCTCTCTCCTCCCATCTGGCCCTGATCCACAAGAGTTTGTAATTGAGACTGTTCTGTGTCAGGCACCAGACGAGGCATGGGGATTACTGTGGTAACTGAGAGACATAATGTAGGGTCCAGCTGGGGCTGATTGTGAAGGGACACTGTAGGCAGATTACTGGCATCCCTGTGACTCTCACCTAGAGAAATCCCTGCTGCTATCCCTGGAGATAATCGAAAGGCTTACTCTTTCCCATAACTAGTCATATTTAACCCATAAAACTCCAGCCCATTGTCTGGAGCTATTTATCAAGACATTTGAGGAAGGAGACATGGTATTATGATTAGCTCTGGCTGTAATAATAAAAAATAACAACAACTGCTTTTATTTATTTATTTTTTTTGAGACAGGGTCTCACTGTGTAGTCCAGCCTGACCTGGAACTCACTATGTAGCCCAGGCTGGTCTCGAAGTCACAGTGACCCTCCTGCCTCAGCCTCCCGAGTGCTGGGATTATAGGCATGCACCACCATGCCTGGCTAACAACTGCTTTTAAAAATAGCTTGTCTCTCTTAGAAAAAAAGTCTGAAGTTGCCCAGGGCTGATACAGAATCTCTATAAAGTTGTCACAGACTCAAACTTCTTCCAATTTCTTGCCCACCATATGTAGCATATCGCCTCATTGTCCGAAATGGCTGCTCAAGCTTCAGCCATAATAATCTAAGCATCGGAAAGGAAGAAAAGGAAAGAAGGTAGTTCTTTCCTTTTGAGGAAACTTCTCAGAATACTTCATGCTTCTGCTTACATCTTATTGACCAAAACTTAATCTATCCATTTCTAATTAAAAGAGAGCCTTTTTTAACCGAGTAAATTGCTATACCCAAACAAATTCAGTTATTAAGGAAGAGAACAGACACTGGAGTGGGCAACCAGCAGTGTTTTCTGCAGGTGTCTAGATATACTGAGAGATAAGGAGAGAGAAAAAGAGAAGAGGAAGAGAACATTGAAAAGATCTGTGAGGGCCAGGGATTTGGCTCAGTGGTTCTGCCACCTGCCCCGCAAGTGCAAGGTCCTGAGTTCAATCCCTCATACCACACGCATACACACACACACACACACACACACAGGTCTGTGAGCAGAAGTGGTGGCACAAATCTGTAATTCCAGCACTCTGAAAGGCTAAGACAGGAGGATTGCAAATTCAGTCCTAGCCTGGACAACTTTGTGACTTAGCAAGACCCTGTCTCAAATGAAAAATAAAAAAATGTACCAAATATACACACACACACACACACACACACACACATATATATACATATATATATATATATATATATATATATACAGACAGATAGATAGATAGATAGATAGATCTCTATATATATAGAGAGATATATATCAAGGATTATTACATCCTTAGCAAGGATCCTAAGCAAAAGTGAACATTTGCACACTGGTGCTGAAATGTAAATTAGTACAGTTGTTATGGAAAACAGTATAAGGATTTCTCAAAACGTTAAAAATAGAACTACTGTACCATGTGGCTCAGCGATCCCACTACTGGGCATATATCCAAAGGAAGTAAAATCAGTATGTTAAAGAGACATCTGCATTTCCATGTTCATTGCAGCACTAATCACAGCAGCCAAAGAAAGGAAACAACTGAGGTGTCCATCTATGAACAAACAGATAAAGAAAATGTGGTACATTATCATAGTGGAATACTACTCAGCCATAAAAAATGAAATCTCGCCATTTGCAATAACATAAATGAAATAAGAGATCGTTATGTCAAATGAAATAAGCCAGACATAGAAAGACAAGTGTCATATGATCTCTCATATGTGGAATCTAAAAAAGTTGACCTCTTAGAAGTAGAGATTAGAGTGGTGGTTACTAGAGGCTGGGACAAGAGACTAAAGGGTTGATCACTGTGTACTAAGATGTAATTAAATAGGAGCAAGGAGCTCCTATATTATTACCTGTAGTCACCATAATAATAATGCACTATACATTTCAAAGAGCTAGGAGAAAGAAATTTGAAAGTTCATCACAATGAACTGATGTTTGAGGAAATAAATGCTCAACCTCTTTTAAACATTATATAATGTATATATGTATTGTACATTACATGCTACCCCATTGATGTGTACAGTATTTATGCTTTTGAGTATTAATTAAAAATAAAATAATAACTTGAAAACAGAAAGAACAGCAATAACAGCAAACCTCTTTGACTGCTGGCGTCCATGAAAGGGGATTGCCTACCCCAGTGGATCAGAGCTGGCTGGTGTCTGTGGCCCAGGAACAGAGCAAGAAGGACAGATTCTTGAGAGTGAGGTATGTCCCTGCTGCTGCAGACTGGTTTTCCCAGAATTTCCAAGACAAGGGGGCCTCAGGAGGTGACCCAAGAGGCTTTGAAGCAGAGAATTCCAAAATCCACAAGCCCAGAATATCCTCTTGAATGTCTGTATGGAAAAAAAGAATTGAGATGTTGCCTTGGTTACTTTCTCATTTTCGGACAAAATACTTGACCCTCACAAGTTAAAGGGGGAAAGTTTATTTTAGCTCACAGTTTGTAGAGGTTTCAGTCCATAGTAGGATGGTTCAGGGTAGAGCAGCATGGCAGAAGGGCTTAGCGGAAGAGAAACAGTCCATGGCAGGGCAGGCAGAAATTAACAATCCTTCCTTCTTCCCTTTTTATCCTGTCCAGGCTACAGGTTGGTGCCACCCACACCCAGGGTGGGCCTCCCATTATCCACACCCAGAACTATGCTAAACTAATCAGTGGACTAATCCAGATATCAACATGCATGAGCCAGCCACCTCCAAAGAGCCCCAACTATGATTGCATGAAGCTTTGGAGGGTTATCTATATAGAAGCCATAACAGATGTATTGTGTACATGTACCAATTCCCCACAATTAATGTAATCATTATGTACTAATATAAAAAAGATTCTTTTAAGAACTTGAAAAAAAATGTCTTTATGGAGGTATAGTAATAGGCATCTCCAAATCAAAATCTGGAGACTGATGTTCCAAGTGAACATTCCAGAAAACATCCTCTTCATTTTTGATTGCTGGAAAGGAAAATTAGCACAGAATCTTCAAATCTTGGGGCTGGAAGAAGCCTTGAGAGTCATCCAATCCTATTTCTTCTCACCAATCATACCATCTTCCATCCTGCAACCTCATGCTCAGGATAGACTGGCTGTGCTGAGATAATGTTAATTTCAGGGAATTATTTTCTATGGGAATGTACCTTTTTGCAGAACTAAAGGATTTTAGTTCTAAAAGGTAAGATAAAATGATCCAATAACACCCAGTTCACCAAACCTAGGAGTACCGAATCCCTTTCAAGAGTCTTTAGCCTTGCCAAAGAGAAGCAGCTAATCATATGGAGAATGACACAGAAAGCTGAATGCCACTAAGGGTTAGATTGCTCCCTTCAATTCCCTTCTACTTCTACCTCCAAAGATGTCAACATTATCTTGATAAATTCTTCCCTTTAGAGGGTTAAGGCATACATTACTGTTGCCTTTAGAAAAATACAAAGCAGGCAGGACGGAAAATGTAGCTCAGTGGTGGAGCTTCTGTTTAGCATGCATGAGACCCTAGGTCTGATCCTTAGCACTTCCAAAAAAAAAGCCAAAGAAAACAATCAG